ATTAGCAGCAATTGTAATCGACACCTGCGACAGTGCATCCAACCGCCCCCAATGCCCCCAAGGCCTCTCAATGTCCCCCGCTTCGCATCCGTATTTGATGAGCCATTTGAGAAATTGAAATGGTTTGTGTAAATGTCTTCATTAGCCGACAATGGACAATCCGGCAAATCAACAAACCAATCGCCATTCCCCCTGCCCCCCGCTTTAAATATTTACGCGCCTCCCTCCCGCTGGCTTTAGCCTTCGTTTGTCTTGTTTGCACCTTTCGCAGCGTCGACTCAATGGATTCGTTAGCTAATCGACAGCTGTTGCATATTTCATAAGTGACAACTGATAGGCCACAAAACGCAGACGACGCTTTCGAAATTGCGTGTTCTGCATTTTCAGTGTATCAATTGAAGCGACCAATTGCCCCTATTTGTATACCCATTGAAACCGGGCTGACAACAGAAATGAAAAGGCCGAATGGTATTAGGACAGCGCAAGCAGCACACAATAGAAAGTTTCTGGAATAACAAATCGATTTATAGAATTATGCATCTCCTCATATGTATATCCAAATTTTCGGCTTTATAACTGAGTTCAATTCAATTTCTATTGCTAATCGTCTATAACATTGTCCTTTGGCCAACTCATACTACATATGTACATATGTATCATAAGACTCATACTATATATGTATATAAGAAATAATTGTCATATAGCTTACATAGATATCAGGAAGTTTTATATATCATAAATTCTTGTACAATATTATACATATAGATAAATATCGATAATCCTAGCAAAACTTGATATCACCTATCATATCATATACGACTTTTTAAGTATCCAAGAAACTGTAACGAATTTGTGTCATTTGAACAACTTGAAACCTAAGGCTGAGGGCAATTATCGTAATATCATATTGTCTACACAGTTATCGGAAGTAAAAAAGAGAACGTTTTATGTTACATATTATTCAGTAGAATATTATACTATATGTATATGAAAGTGGATAAATTTTGTAGATCTTATAAAAGGTCTTATAATAACATAAATATAATACTCAGAAATCTGTATATTGTTCAGTTAAGCCAGAATTTCATTACTAAACAAATCTCAAATTAAAACTTAGTAGAATCCAATTTTAACGACGCTCAAGAGACCGTTGTTATACCAGGCAGACGCTATAGCCGTATAAGTTTGCTCATAAAATTTGTCTGGGGACCAGAATTTTCGTCGCTATAACCGTACAGACGCTATAAGCGGAGTCGTTACTGTACAAAGTAATAAAGAAGATTCTATGTTGTCCCAGAGACGAAATTGGGATTCACCCATCTAAAGAATTAATTGCCAACATAGTGGAAATATGATATCCACTTGCTGGCACACTTAATAGTATTCATTTTAATTTTCTAACCATATAATCAGGTTATCAGAGATCAAGAGCTTAAGAGCTGGTCATAAATAATGCTGAAGGCATTAAAGAGTGCTTTAAGAGTTTTTAGCACAGATATGCATACATGAATTGATTAAATCAAATATGGTTTTAATTTGACGTTTATACAATGCACCACTCAATATTGCCCGCTAAGCCTAATCGGGGCTACTCGACAGACCGCCCACAACTGGTGGGGGAGGTGGTATCACTACCTGCTGATTGGTGGTTCGACGGCTTGTAGACTGTGAATTTATGGCAGATACTTTAAGCTTATATGGCTATTATAGGTACATATATATCGGTATGTGTGTGTGTGTCTGTGGCATGTGCTCATATCAGAGGCAGTCACTGATAAGCCAAGGAGGTCGCCGAATCAGCGGTAATTATTTGCTCAGATGTTTCGCCTGGTCACAGTCAATTAATTATGAGCGAACCATTCGCAAGGTAACCCTGACAAGAATTTCAAACTTTCCGCTCGCTGTGGGAGTGTCAAGTATTCTCTGTTGGTCTTTGGACTCGAAATTGGAGATTTGAACAGAACTGAGAACAGAATGGGGCTCGATTTGATATCTTATCATGCATCTTGGGCGAATGCAGTATATGGCTGGGCCCGTGGCTGTGGCTACATGCGTCATCAGACACCCAAGACAAACATATTAATCCAATATCAACGTTATACATGAATGAGTGTTATATAACCAACGCACAATTTGTATGCGGCTTGTGCCAAATTATATATTTGCTTCAATTGGTTCAAGAGCTCAAGAGATTCATATCTTACATTCGGATCATACGCTTATCTATACGCTTTACCAAAGTTCCCAAATTATATTCTCATTTATTTGCTTTTCTTTGGTTCTTTCAAACGAATATTCCTGATTTGATTAGAATTATGTTCGATTCGCGTAATTGAATTGTCCATTTTGGATGTAAATCGGTTGACGTACTCCTGAAAGATATATCATTTGTAAGTCGCTTTGTCAACAAGATAAAGATACGGTTATATAGAAACACATACCTGACCCTGTACCGCCCACGACTCAGACATCCTTCATGAAAATTCTTATCTAAATGAGCTTACACAGTTAATGGTTTAATAAGCAGGGCCCAATATATTTATCTATCTACGATATTTTATTCGGTATTATCTATTATTATGCACAAATAAAACAGCAAAAAACCAAAAAATGGACATTGAGATAAGGGAAAGGTACGTTCTCAATGCTGTCGAATGGAACTCTGATTGAAGTACTGTTATATATGTATATAAATATACATATAATCTATAGAGATAGAAATAGAAATATAGAGAAGTAGCTTGAAACGATGTGGAAAATGTACGGACAATAGTCAAGTGGCGTTTAGATACATTAGTTAAGGTCATGTGACGGCAGTTATCTGACGGATTGATGGATCAGCCGAGCAACTTCGGAAAGAAAGTGTAGTTAATTGGTAAGCCTTGACATATCATTTTATACATACATGTTCAGGTATGTATGTCATTTGAGTGACTATATATAACACATACACTCACACACACTGTCACACCTGATTGTATTGAGTAATTACTTAAGTAAGGCTACAGCTGTGATAAACCTTATCAGCTGGATCAACGATGAAAGAGTCGCACTTGCAAGGAAAAACAAATATACAGATATCGGATACAAATGAGAGTGAGAGAGAAACAATTAAGTAATAACAGTGGAACGGCAATTGAATACGCTTCCAAAGCAGTCGAGAGTAAATAGAGCCTCAAACATCCAGGTAGCATGCAAATGTAGCTCAGGTTAGCTACGCAATGACCTCATCCAGGTGGCATGCGTTTTGTGGAAAGGAAAGCAACAGGAGTAACATAGGCGATAGCAGCAGGAGCAACAACAGCAACAGCAACATCAACATCAACATCGACCAAATAACAGCACTCCCTCGCCCCCTCTAGAAACCTCTCGAAACTATGCGAATCCTCTGCAAATACTTGAATGTCAGTCACAAAAAAAAAAAAAGATAATAAAGCAAAATACAAGCCAAAAGCTCAAATTGACTAGCATTATACTTGTTGTATAATTATATAATTAATAAATATATATAATTTAAGAGAGTCCACTATTTACAACAGGGTATGCCCAATGTTGATGTTGGACAGCTGTTATTGTAGCTGCTGCTCCCTAAGCAAATCAATAATTGAGCGGCAAGTGCAGTGTCACCCACCCATATACACTCACACACTTACACGAATGTATTTGTGTGCGCGTGTGTAGCTGACCTTCGTACTGGCATTTGGGGGGCAAGCGGCTAGCGGCAAATGTGATGCCGGGCTGGAAAATGTTATTAGCGAAGTGGAGAGAGAAATTATATTTCCGAATCGACTAGCCATTTTACACCTTTAGCTACAATGTTATTATTTTTGAAACGCAATTAAAATGCTCACTGTTACAATAACACCAACAGTCGCTCTCACTCTGCCGGCATAGTTTTACTGTTGTTGCTTTTTTTGACATTTCGCTGAGCAGACAGACATTTTTAATAACAGAGATGCTCCGAAGTACTCGACATAATACATTTACATATCTATGTGTGTGTACTTACGCACACATCTAGATGAATGCATGTGTATATAGATGTGCCAATGTATTCATGCCATGTAGATAACTGACTAATCACACACACAGCGATACATAACACAATGTATGCACGTACATATGTATTGCACGTACATATATACATATATGTAATTGTATGTCCGATTTGTATTAGTATATTTACCTGTTGATTTTGACTTGCTTTTGCTTTTGCACTTTGTAGCCGCCGTTGCTGTCGTCTTCCGATCAATTAAAAAAAAAAAAATAACGGAGACAAATAATGTATGTAAATACAAGGAAATATGTTGACACACGCGCACCCAATTGCTTTTGGTTTTTTTAAGAGTTTTGTTTTTTTTTTTTTTTCTTGTTATTTTTGATTAATATTTATTTGTATATATTATTGAGTGCCAACAACAAATAACGCATTGTCAATGCCTTTAATATTGCGTTAGAAAAAAATAAAGCACCGAACGAGGACAAGAAACAACGCAGTGTTGACAAAAACTAAGCGCAACAGAAATCGGATGTTAATTAACAGTTTCAATAACACTTCCAGAATCCGTTGAAACCTGAAAATAAATTCTGTTAACAAGCTGTTCGCTGGCATATATATATAATAATTCTAGTAGTTTTTATTAATATTTGAAATGTGACCAGCCTAAAACATAGCGATAGCTATATATCGATATCTTACTTCAGGCACGACTTTATTAAAAATATAATGATTTTCATATGTTTAATAAATGCTTCGAATACAAATTTATTCGAAAATTATGTCAAACAATCTTAGTTGTCGGCAGTTAAAGCTCATATTTTTAAATTGGTTTTGCGTTTTTTTAAGCTGTAATAAATAATTTCTTAATAGTAATTATTATTATCGCGGCTTTTTCAAGAATATCGACATTTTGCGTATGCGTATAAAAATACGATATATGTGACGTTGAAATTTAATCGCATCTATTTCATGAAATTGCAGCTCTGTCTTTAATACTGTTTATCGATTACACACAAGTCGCAGAACGCAGAGTACTTTCGGACGTGTATCTTTTTCAATAGAGTAAATTTTAATTTCTATTTCTTAGAGTCGAGTTCGTTGCGTCTTTTTTCTTAACAAAGACACCATAAATTCAAATCAAGTAAATCTTGTTTTAAACGGAACTTCACACTTTTCCAAATTTGTTCAAATCTTACATTTTATTTGTAGCTGTGGTAAGTAAGCGTGACAAGGCAATATACACGAACTTTCTGGGGGAAAACAAATTATACTTCAATAGCATTATGATTTTTCAGATTTAAAAGAATTCTTGGTTATTTTGTTATTTCACAATTCAAAGTTTACATGAGCGTGTGTGTGTGTGTGTGTGTGTGTGAGTAGGTTTTGTGTAATCGGACGGATGCTTTATTTACAGTAAACGCAACGAACACACGCACGCACACGCACACACATACATACGCATGCTTGCTTGCACATATTTAAATACATCCCGCTAAGTTTTTAGCATAAAAAGTAAAACATGTATATATGTATAGCGTTTGTAACAATGGCTGAATTTCTTTGCAGATCAACATGCCTAGTATCAAATTGCAATCGTCTGATGAAGAAATTTTCGATACCAATATTGAAATAGCGAAGTGCTCCGGCACTATTCGCACCATGTTAGAGGATTGTGGCATGGAGGATGATGAGAATGCGATCGTGCCGCTGCCGAATGTGAATTCAACAATATTGAGAAAGGTGTTGACTTGGGCCACCTATCACAAGGATGATCCACAGCCCACCGAGGATGATGAGAGCAAAGAGAAGCGCACCGATGACATCACATCCTGGGATGCAGATTTTCTCAAAGTGGACCAGGGCACACTATTCGAACTGATCTTAGCCGCCAACTATTTGGATATCAAGGGGTTGCTGGAACTAACCTGCAAGACCGTGGCCAATATGATTAAGGGCAAGACACCCGAGGACATCCGAAAAACGTTTAACATTAAGAAGGATTTCACTCCGGCCGAGGAGGAGCAGGTGCGCAAGGAGAACGAATGGTGCGAGGAGAAGTAATTTTAGCTTGCCCAGCTTGTCGCGAAATGGTATATGGCTTCGTTATTAATCTGAGATCCCATAACAAAAATTTGCAAATTCAAAAGGATGAGATACGTTAAAATCTCAAGCAACTCAAAAATTGCTTGAACCATTGCGTATTAATATAACTTTTTATCTAGTTTATGTATAAGGTTGAATACACCCATGAAATATTTTTTCTTAAAAACCAAATTTAATTATATACGAACATGAGCAGAAGAAAATAGCAATAAAATGTAAACAGCGGTTAAACATGCGTAAATGATCAGACATATACATAATTACTATACACATGTACACACATATATGTATACACACAGGATATTTATAATCCTACTGAATCATAATAAGATTGGCATACCTTAAAACAGTCCTTTCTCGATTAAGTATTATCGGTTCGAAGTTTATCTTGACCATATATATCTCAACACAGTTTATTGAAGTATATAAAATAGAAGAAAGAACTATATTTCTTTTTTTTTAAACATACAAACTTCATTTCAATCATCCTTAATTTTGTTTCTTATTTACTAATGTGTATCATTTAACAGAAATCAAATGAATAAAACATAATCTAGATTAGAACTTAATAATCTATTAATTAATCATTTTGTAGTTTTTTGTAGACTTGCAGCCATCAAGCAATATATACTATACATATAAATATATAAATAAACTCGCCTTAACAGAAATGGTCTATTGGATATTTGAAGTCGAGTGGTGTGCGTTCGATGTTTCACTCAATATGGATCACATATCTGTCGCTAAAGAAGTCTTTTCAGCGGAAGTCGTAAATTCCAAGAAAATAAACTCGTTTTGCTGCATGCGGAATTGTTTTTTTTTTTTTTCCCTCGTGGTGTGATAATATTTTATTGGTAATATTTCTATGGATGTTGGTAAATTGGAGCTAATGTGGAATTCTTCTATTTGAAATCTGAAATTGTAAATAAATAAATATTTGATCGATCCAGATCAGAACCAAAATTCGAATCCATCCATGAAGATGCGAGAAATGTCTGTAATTATTCTCAATTTGTTTTTGTCATCCGCTGAGGATTGAAAATCTGAAAAGCAGTGTGCAAATAGAATATAGCGAATATGTACATATGCATTTATGTATGTATGTAGAGGATATATATACATACATACATACATCACCTTACGTACATACATATGTATGCACATATGTATGTACCTAAGTAGCTTCAAGAATTTGCTCGAAATCTAAGGACGTCTGGAAACTTCGAGCCGAAATGATATCGCCAGTTAGCTTTCTACATACAAATATGTACGTACATACAAATGTATGTGTATGCATTTATCTATGTAGATGCATACATATGTTTGCTAATTCCATCTATCTTCAAACATGTACATTTGCCTGCCTAACCATATACTACATACAGATGTACATATCTACATACATACATAAATACATATGCAAGTATGAACTCTGTAGGTATATTCCCTTCTCTTTTACTCCAGCTCCAGCTATCCCTTTCTAATTGATTCACTTGCATTTCCATTTTTTACACATTTAGTTGGTTTTTAATTTTATTAAATTGTTTTAAACACTACAATTAATTTGTTAAAAGGCCATAAACAAAAAATTTTTGTTCTTTATGTGAGAGTGTGTGTGGGGCTAGCTTGTCTGTGTGTGTGTGTGTGTGTGTGTACGGGTGCGTTCTTGTGCATGAATGTGTGTCTCTGTGTGAGTGTGTTTCTTTGCTAATTTTGCTGTTGTTGCATTTGGGGCGCTTTTGTGTTTGGGTTATAATATGTATAATAATTTCCTGGCTCTTATAGTTACAATGGCAAACAATAATTACATTTCAATACATTTTTCTTTTTTTATATGCATATTTATGCACCAAACATCAATCGTTATTTTTATTGTTGCAAAATTACAAATTATGCGTGTTCGTTCCATTAGGCTTGTTCCTGTTGCTGTCCCTGTGTTTGTGTATTTGTGTGCGTGCGCTCTTGAGTGCATGCCTATGCGCGTGTGTGTGTGTGTCTGTATGTGTGTTGGTGTGTGGGGAGAGGGAGGGGGGTTGCTTCTCATCCTTGTTATAACGTTTTCTTGTATTTTTTTTTTTTTTTTTATATATTTGTGTTTTTTTTTTTTTTATATTTGTTTTGTTTGTTTGCATTTTTTTGGTTGTTTTTTAAACGATTTTCAATAAATTATCATATTAAACAATTGAAAGGTGTTTGAAATAAAGATGTGCATTGGCAACATTTTGCCGCTAATCTTGCTCTAGTTGTCGTTTTTCTTTTTTTTTTTTTTTAGCTGTTGCTGCCTTTGCAATAGTTTTTCCTTTTTTTTTTTTTTTTTTTTTTAATGTTTTTTGTTTTTGCTTTAGTTTTTTTTTTTTTTTTTTTTTTTTTTTTTTTATTTATTTAATTAGGACGTCAATTTAATGAGGGCAAATGTCCACCGTGCCAATTTATTTCAATATTGGGCCATTTGGTCTGCAGACATGTGACCATCGGATTTGAGGTGCAAATCGACTTGAGATCGCCCTCTAGCAATATTGCCGAGCCACAGTAATAGCGCACCTGTAAGATAAATAGGAAAACAGTTAGGGTCTGCATACGTAAGTAAAGAATTAATTAATTTAATACAGTTGCAAAATGTTTTATATTTTTGTAAAACATGATAAGGTTCTAATTGTGTTGTGAATCATATCTAAAGTTGCTTCAATTTCGATTCGTATTGCTATATATACGCTATAAATCACCGGACTGACAGCTGAAAACAATTACAGTTGCAATAAATAACTCTAATTAGAATAGCACAAGGTAACATACATGTATATATACAGACTTCGATTTGCTTTCATTACACTAAAGTTTTTGCTAATTAATTGAATGCGTACAGCTAATGTCAATTAATGTTATAAATTAAATGACTGATGTATCTAAAGTGGGCATTATACATATATCGTTGCAGTTGTAATAATTCTAATCTATGCAAATTTTATAAATACAGTTTATAAGTTTCCCAACTAGGAAAGCCTCAAGCTCTACCCATTGACTATAATGCGCTTTGCTGTGCTATGAAATGTTAAGCAACTCGAGTGTTTGTTCACCTTGTTGTTTTCGTTGGAGCCGGGTATGCCATTGTAATGCATAAGCTCGAAAGTGTCGGGAGTTGAGCGGCGCTCCAGTGGGAAAAATTCATCCATGAATGCATTCAAGAGAATAATACCGAGATTCTCAGGGTCCAAACGCTTTTGCATGAGACTTACACTGGACGATGACATGAAAATGGAAAGAATCATGTTATTTAACTAACGGCAAACGATATTAAGAAGCAACTCACTATCCCGGCTCGCTGACCAGATTCAATGCGGCTAGCACATCACGCAGCAAGGTGCTCGATATGAAATTATTGCCCTCCGGATCGTATGACTTGAAGATACGACGTCCTGTCTCCGATGGTGTCTCTGGAGAGACCAGCCTCTTTTCGTTGCTAAACAAAACTGCAACAGAGTACAATGAATCCATATTAATTGTAAATATCGGAGATATTAAATAAATACCAGTTAAATGCGTATCCGAGCCCATTACCCAAACTGGGTAGCGTGGATTCTTGAAAAACGAGCCCACTGTGCAGTAGCGCATCTGTTCCATTAGTGTTATAAATCCAACATCGCTCTGCTCACAAATGCCACGCAGCTTTAGGCCTCCCACATCCTGCTCATTGTCCCAGACATGAGCCACAGCGCGCCCAGTTAGCATTAGGTTAATCAACGACTGTGCACCATAGCCATATGTGCTGTGTATCAGCGGCTCCGATGTGTCCGATATATCAGATGTCACCTGCTCCGTGCCCTTGGTTAGGAATACCGAATACATAAACAACAGCACGCCGTACGTATTCGATAGCTGACTATAGTTGTCCACATAGTAGCGAGCCACCTCGCCAATGTGATCAAAGTGAAGCGTGTGGAGGCGCTCATGAAATTGGTCCGGTGTCAATTCCAAATTGAAACGTGCGACAATAGCTGTTGCATCGTTTTTGGCTGCAAGAGCAGTGGCACCTGCAGCTGCAGTCGCATCGGCGGCATCAATACCAGTTGACTCCTCCGCTTCCACAGCATTTTCACTCGAATCAGTTGGCGGCGTCAGGCGACGCTCTTTGGTTGCACGCCGATGCAGTGTGACAATTTTATAGCGCGGCGCTCGACAATTCTTCAATATGTTGCATAGTGCCTGAATGAGCAGAGTCTGGCATTTTTCACTGGTCAGCTGGTAATGAGATTAAATTGAAATTAAATTTCTATTGGCATTTCGAGCGTGTGGGCGGGGCGAGGAAACAAATAAGGAGGGGAATAAAGGAATGAGGGTGCTTACCTGTTTTAATTGAAAACCTGGCATGTCCATGATAACTATCTTAAGCAAGTACGCCTGTACGGGCGCTATCACAGCACAAGGACCGCCCTGTTTTTGCACCAAAGCCGAGGGCTCCACATCACTAAACTCAAAGCCTGCAAATGCATATTGTATGTATTATACATATATATAGTGTACAGAGAGATACACACACAAAAAGCGCGCGCGCTCGTTAACCGCTGGCACTATCTGTTTGGGTGGGTTGGGGTTGGGGTTCGTGTGTGTGGGTGGTGCGGTGCAACAGCAACTTACCTTGAGACCAACGCTTGAATACATCTTCGCGCACACTGTCGCCCCACAGCAACTGCTTAATCTCGCGCAGCTCTCGCATGTCGCTCTCACTGGAACGCACTTGCGGTTGTTTTCGTCCAGCAGCAGCTGCTGCTGCTGCTGTTGATGACGGTGTACTGCCACTGGCCATAGATAGGTCTTGTTGCTGCTGCAGCTGCTGTTGTTGCTGTTGCTGCTGTTGCTGCTGCTGCTGCTGCTGCTGTTGCTGTCCTACTGTGTTGTGAGACTGTGATTCCAAGGCTGTTGACGCCAACGTCATCGACGCCGTGGCTGATGCAGTTTTCGGCGAGGCGCACTTTTCGCTGCGCTGCTCCCGTTCGCATGCGTCGCTCATCTCGCGTCGTTTTCTTTGCTGTAGGGGGGGAAGGGGTGTACGGGTATGAAATCACAAAATGTATTCGTCTTTATCGAAATCGAAATACAATAAACGCAAAGTCAACTATTTAGGTTGGCATTTTTTGGCTATGCAAATGCAACAGTGTAGGGATGTACAAAATATGGGTGCATCAATTGCTATCGATACGATTGCACGATATCACAAATGCAAGTGCTGCCCACTGCAGGCTAGTGATGTCACTTAGCAACAAAGATTCATTCGTGAAATCAATCGAGTGTTTATTAGCAAATATATCGTATTGTTATTGTTAAATTAAACAATTAAGTAGTATTATTACAAGTAAAATCTCTTTGACAATAGCTGGACTTTCTTTTGTAAAATAGGTTGAAGTCACATTTTGAAGAGTTTTTAGAAATCTGACAAGCTTATCGAACCGACTAGATTAGTGTCTACAATAAACACTAATTAAATATCGATATATCGATAGTAGTCATAAATTTGGTATCTAACTGGACCTCTGTTTATAAACATAATAAAGTTATTGGCGCCCCATGGAACTTAGAAGCATATTGCCAAAAACTTCAAACGCAACTAATCAAAGCACCTCGCCTACAGTCGCACCGAACATGAGGAAGCCCGAAACGGCACGCCTCTACTACTGTCGCTCGTGCCTGGTGGCCTTTCCCCGGTTTCTCGCCTGCAAGCTGCACGAGCAGCTGTGCGACGCGCGTTTAGCCCGGCTGCACATATGCAAATATTGCCTGACGCTGTATGGGGATGAGCAACTGCATAAGCGTCACATCCAGCGCAAGCACATGGATCGCCGGTATATGTGTTTGCAGTGTGGTACGTTTGGCAAGCGCTACAGCTCCTCGATATTCCTCTTCAAGCATGTCGTATCGTGGCATGGCGAGCAGTCGCTCTTCTACTGCGCCATGTGTGCGGACAACTGCAACGACGCGAAAGCATTTAGCTGTATGCGTGATCTGATTGCTCATGCCGAGAGCGAGCACAGTCTGCACGGCGATGGCAGCGTTGTGGACGAGACGGAGGACCTGGAGATGCTTGAGGAGAACATAGACGAGCTGCTGCCAACGGTTGACTGGGACGATGATTTAACATTTGGCTGGCCCATGGATTTGGACAAAGAGTCATGCATTGCCGATCCGAAGCCAAAGCCCAGCGCTTACGTCTGTCCAATTTGTGCTAATGGATTTACCGGCAGCATCAGCCTGTTAAAGCATATCGAAAAGTCGCATCAGCGCGATCCCCTGATCTGCATCTTCTGTGGCAAATTGCACAAAAACCGCGAGGCAGTCAGAGCACATTTGCAGCGCCAGCACGTCCTACTGCGCGCTCACATCTGTAGAGTGTGCAAGGCGGACTTTACCACCGCCGATCATCTGTTGAAGCACCGAAGAAGCCAGCATCTGGAGCGTGCCTTTGTCTGTCCCGAATGCGGCAAGTCCTTTGCCCAAATTAGTCATCTAACTCAGCACATGTTGTCCGAGCGTGGTCATATCAAACACATCTGCGCTCTATGCAACACGCAGTTCTTTCGCTCCATCGATCTCATGCGCCACACTCAAGTCCAGCACTCACTGCATCCCTAACAAGGTAGGTTACAAGCAAACATATTGCTTGACTACTCTCACTTAGCAGTGTGAGAAAGAGACAGCGCTTAGAGATGTATAATGCATATCTAGATGTATTTATGTATTTCTTTAGCAACACCAGAGAGAACATCTTTCAATATCAGTGTTTACAAGAAACTATTAATCTCAATTTGCTAGCTAATTGATCTCTGGTGGAGCGCTCTAGCTGCTCCCAGAGGAGCATGCAAAAATGCGTACGAAAAGGTTATAAAATAACGTTATAGTCCAATTTATATTAGATTTCATATATATCGTAGTTTTGTCTATATTCCATATAAAATTTCTATATTTATCAAAATGTTGTATATGCTGACCATCTATTTAATTGGGGTTTTATATTGGGTCGAATAATAATAATAATCAAAGGGACAAGTGGTATATGGTTATGGCTGTTCGACTTGGATAATCTTAACCTTGCAAAGAGAGGAATCCAATATATGTATGTGCTTCTTTTTACTTACTTTTATATCCAATACCTTTTCTACACGAACACACACATACACACGCGCTAAACGATTTATCACAAGTTTACTGCGCTTCGCCTGAAGTCTGAAGGAAACTTTTCTTTTAGATTGATTTTTTAAAAGAAATTTTCAAACCGAGCTACGAGTTTATTTAGTAAAGCACCAGCCTCTAGTATTTGAAGTTTATGCTTTGACAGTTTAGGCGAAGGTAGAGTGATATTGTAAATGTCTAATGTTTGTACATACTTATGTATGTAGAACTGAGTTCAGTGTGTTTAATCTATTTAACACACAAATCTTAGTTCTACTGATATTCCAATTAAGCCTAAGTAACGAAATAAAATGATCGATTTTTAGCAATATTGAGATGAACGATTTAGAATAATATAGTTCTAATTATTTTATAGATAATTTTGAGAAAAAAAAAAAAATACAAAAATACAAAATCAATATTTATTATAAATATGTGAGATATCTATACCTAAAATGAGCAGAGAATTAATTAAATCTATGCACAAAATACCCTATAACCAGTTTTAAACATAATAGAGTATATTCATAAATATGCATGTAAATATGTGTGTACAAAGTAGTTTCCATTGGCACTAAAAGCTCCTGCAAACGCTCTGTTAATTAACAGCGCACCTGCTGCACCCTGCGTTTGCACACACACACACACACACGCACACACACATACGTAAATCGGTCACGCACGCCAGCCTTAACAGTTAAAAGTTTTAAGCGCTAGCCCAAGAGACGTCGGCAATGCTGACAGCGACGACGACGATTCGATCGCAGCAGCCGACATGAGAGCGTCGCGTCCGTTACAAACTGAGAGCGTCGGAGCGCAACAACAGCAACAGTAACAGCAGCAGCGCAGCAGCAGCAGCAGTGGCAGCTAAGCCAACGGCGAAATAAACGTTATTGTCATTAAAAGTCTCGCTGTTGGCCCACACAGGCGACAGTTTTGAACGAATCGTGCTTGTGTTTGGATTGTGCGTCGCCGTCGCCCTCGTCGTCGTCGTTAAGAAAGTTAACAAAATATATTCTTGTTTTTGTTTTTAGTTACTTTATCGCTTCGCTAAAAAGCGTTAGATAAATTAAAGAATTGTTGTGTTGACTTAGAGAGCAGACAATAACGTGTAAGTGCATATAAAAAAAAAAAATAATAATAAAAATGAACAAAAACCTAATGTCAAAATAATTCATTAAAACTGGCGATCAAGCAACGCGACCCTCAGCCGCCAACAACTATTTTGTTTTTTTTTGTTATTGTTTTATTCTATTTATTTTGTGTGTGTTGTTTTTGTTGTTATTGTTTGTACTAATCGGGCTCAAAAGCTTTTGTGTTGCATTTGACGAGTTGGCTTTGTGAATTGTTGCTAATGTCGCTTTGAAAACTAAACTCGAATTAGAACAACATTTGATCACTCATCGAAACGAATTCTAATTTCTGATGTTGAATAAATAAAATCATAAAAAAAAACCACACAGAAATTAAAAAAAAAAAAGAGTGCACTAAAAAAATCCCGTGGAAATTGTTACGCTCGACTTAACGCACGTTGAAATTTGTTTTTGTTTTTGTTTTTTAACCTGTTGTAGACGTAAAGTTGAATAAACGTATTATTAACCGCTCAAGTCCAGTCATCAGCGAGTTAAATAAATAATAGCAATAATAAATATTTGATATACATTCAAATATAAATACAATGAAATAAACTCTTATCTATAAACAATAATTTTGATATGTGAATATCATAAGAAAAGCGAATATGTTTAATTTACCTGAACACACCTGAACTTCATAACACACCCCAATTGGATTGCATATCAAATTTGGTGTTTGGTTTTCATTTCATTTTAAATAAATTCAACTTCTTAATAATGAAAAAACCAGCTTTAAACTGGACCTGCAGGTGAATCAAGCATTTGCGAGCCGGTCGATCAACAGGTTGAAAGCCATTTAAGAATTATCATAACGAACAATAACTGCAAATAGTTGTTGTAGTACGAATTCAATTCGAATAGATGGAAGGGCGCCAGCAATTATTATCCAACAGCTTATCAAAGCCAAAATCGAACTGCTTATCATACTTGGGTTTTTTGCCCTCGACCAACGATCGCCACTGAACTGAACTGAACGGAGCTGAGCTGAGCGCAGAGCGCTGAACGCTCAACGATCACTTTACCGATCCGCTGGGGAACCATTAAATCCATAATTTATGCTGCCCTCTGTACCTCAACTGTTGCAGACATGTTAGTCATTCAGCATGCAAAACATCAGCCCTCAGTTGCCCCACGATGTTGTAGGGCATCCTCATCCTACGATGAGGCCCCTTGGCTTAGCATAAACTCCATGCAGAGGGCGTATCGTAGTTAAAGCACATTCATATATTGTACAGTGTATCGAAAATGTGTTTGCACACAGTAATACACTCATATATTAACGGTACTAGAATAGTCTGGAATTTTGCGAAATATTGGAAAATTCTATCTAAACTGATAATAATTCATATATTACATTTGGTTCTGAAAATCTGTCAAGCTACACTGGATTAGGGTATTAGCTAGTCGTGCTTTCGTCAGTGCAGCACTTTTTTTTTTTATAATTGTAATTGATTTGCCTTTTTGCGTGCGCAGACGTTGCTGTTATCTGCCTCTCGCTGTGTCCCTTTTGTTTTCTGTTGCTTTCGCTGCCGTTGTCGGGGTTGCTGCTGTTTGTTGTTGTTGTTGTTTGCTGGCAATTGAAATCGGCGCTCGTGCGCAATGGTAGAGCTATGCAGACGAAAATGGCTGAGAAGCTTTAGCCAGGTAACGCGGGATCACGGCACGGCATGACGCACCGTTCTGCAATGTCTCAGCCAATACGGGTTAAACCGACATCGACGCAGCGAGCCAGCAACAACAACAACATTGATTGGTCAACGACAATATCAATACGAATACAAATACAAACGCAAACGCATTAACTTATTAATTAAAACGTGCCGAATTTATAATCTGTACGCAGGCAACGTACTCATACTCACAGAACAGCATTGGCATGCGCTGCAATTGCTGCTGTTAACGCAACACATGACTAAAATATTGCACGATTTGTGTGATAAGCGACGCCGGCACACACATACGCACACTCATCTAGGCGACACTCTGCCGTAGTAGTAGCACAAAAGAAAATAGACGAAAACTACAGACAACGGATATTAATTTGCATTTAACAGAATTTGAGTCATGCTAACAGCGCACTGTTAACGTTAACTGACTAAGTTTCATATATGTATTTTCGCTGTTGCTTCCTGCAGCCACCCATGAATCACGCAGGTGAACAGCAACAACAACAACAACAACAACACCAGCAGCAGCAGCAGCAGCAATAACGAAGTCTACCGCCGAATCGCTGTCATATCAATCAGCATTTGTTTACTCAATGGCAAAGAAAAGAAAGAAAGAAGAAGAGGAAGCAGCAGAAAATATGCTGTCGCATTGATAGTAGCGCACACACGATTGTTGTTTTTGTCTCGCTGATTACATAAATAAACACTTTTACGCGTGCGCCCCTGCCTGTGTTTTGTGCGCAGGCATCTCCACTGTGGGCGTATGCACACAACATGTGTGCTTAAACATACATACATACAAACATAAGTAGTTATGCTCTTCTCGTTTTGTTGTTATTGGCTATGCGGTAATACAGAGCTTTTTTAAATACCTTCAAGTTAACTTCTTTAATCGCCGCGCTGCAGTTCCAAGTCAGAGCTAAAGCTATTTTTAAACAAGTTGCAGGCGTACGAAAGACACACACACACAAACACACATGCACACGTATGCATTACAGTGATTCCTCTGCTTAGCTTACTATCGCCCGCGTCTTGTGGTATTCCGTTTGTTTTTCTTGTTGCTTCTTTTTTCCTTCCTTAACGTGCATGGTGCGTTCTTTAGCTTGCGCGAGCTTTCGAAGTCGCCTGCAGCTTGTGGGGGGCCATTTCGCATATTTGTTTTGTTTTTTATTTTTTTTTTTGCATTTTTATGAATGAAATGCGATGCATTGTTGTTATTATTATGGCTGCTTAGTTGATAAACTGCCTTGAGCGTTTCGCTATCAGCGTTTGCATATATTTCATATATGTATGTATGTATATTTTTGTTTGTTTTTGTTTTTATTCTGCGCACCATTATCGCCACAACAACAACAACAACAACGACGACGACACAGCAGCAACAAATGAAAGTGAAACGCGCTAACTGACCTATAATAAACATTTTCATATTCATGCATGCCAAATGGACATACATATGTATGTGCATATATGCATAAATACATACATACATACATATGTATGCATGTATACAGCTGAGTATGAGCATATACATATGTATAGGGTATACAAGATATCCTTACGCACGTAGCTACATAAATCAGCATGCCCACGCAATGTAAATACAAATCTATAGAGAATTCTCCGTCAAGAATTTTAATTAAAAAATGCACTTTTCCTATTAAAACAAAGTAATGTGTCAGAAATACTCTACTAAAAATTAAATCCAATTTATATATATGGATCTATATGTAGAGATATTTATATATTAAATTATTTTAAGCATAGCTTTACTATTTTAAGAGGATTTAAATATAATACTAATATTATAATAAACAAATTCAAAGGAAACTCCATACTCTACTATCTACTTTTAATAAAAAAAAAACTAAAACTGGAATTTTTATATAAATATGTATACATATGCAAACGATATATCGTATATTCATATAGAATAGCTTATGCCTTGGTGCAAATGCAAATCAATATAAATTCGTAGAACGACTGTTAAAGAGCATTTGATAGTCGTCTGCACTCGCATGAACATTCCTAGATGTTTTTCTTTAATGCGCTTCGACTATTTTTACTGTTTCCGGACAAGAAACCCACTCCATCGGTAGCTTATCAAAATGGTCAGCTGATTGAAGAGTCGGATCAACCAGGCCAAGAAAACAAACATTGTCCATTCATGGCCAAAAGCGGAAAATAAGCATTTATGTCACGCATACAAAATATCCTCTAATCAAAGTGAGTGCAAAGAGGGTATACATGCAGACATAATTTTCATTGATAAACGAAAGAATATAAAATGTATATAAATATACACATATGTGTAAGTGTGTATAGATTATTATTGGTCAGATTATTATCAATACAATATTTATCAATACAAATTCTATGAATTTACAGATAGTTCAGTTTGTTTAATTGATCTTAAGTTTTTACTACATAGGGTATTTTCAAGCTCATCAACTTGACTTCTGGGACTTTTCGTAGCAATCAGCGGGCTGATGATTTACTTATTGATATGCCCAACACATAATTGCATACACACATACACACTCTTGCATTTACACACCCGCACACATACATTCACACATGCATATATAGATTTGTATATACATATGTCTCTTTATGATAACGCTGCATTTGTTGTTGTTCTTTACATATTTTGTTGCTTGCGTACTTTTGTATCAATGTCAAGTTAACCATACAAAAAAAAAAAAAAAAAAAAGGTTTTGTCATCCACAGTTGACAACAATAACAGCAACATTTAGTGACCCCAATTAAAGTTACGTCTGTCGGCCAATCGGCGTGTGGGCGGCTGCCAGAGTGTTGGTGTGCTGCGTACACCTGTTGCATTGACATAAACCAGTGCGCTGACTGAAACATAAATAAATCAGCTGTCAGAAGGGCGACCAAATCTTGGCTGACGCCTCTGTCTCTCTTCATAAAAAAAAACAAGTCATAAATCATAAACGTAGCGTAAAGTAGACAGAAGTATTAAAAAAAAGCTTCGCTATTTACATAAATGTTAATTAAGTGTTGTTGTTCTACTCTCTCTCTCTCTCTCACTCACTCATGCACGTCATGCTGCTCTATTTGCAGACAACAAAGTGACAGCCAGCGATAATAACGGTACATTGGTTAACAGCACAAGAACAGGCGTTTAGCCATGACACAAACCCAGCACACAATGCGCAGCTGCAGCAGCAGCAGCAGCGATTTACAGCATGCGCAACAGCGACGTCGACGCCAAATGTCAACGCATTGTTCGACGCTGCTGCTGCTGCTGTTGCTCGTGATCAGCTGTGGCATTTCCGTTGCCTTCGCTGCGACAGCGCAGTCGCGCTTGTCTCAACCCCAGGGCAGAATACGACCGCCGCGTGAGATATATGAGGATGATGCCGGCGCCGCAGCTGCCGCTGCTGCAGCCGCCGCCGATGCCGAGGCTGCGGAGGCAACAAGTTGCTGCCAGGGCGCAGCAGCCACATCTGTCGAGCCTGTCACGGTAAGTACACATACATACACACATATACAAAGCTCGCTGGGAGTCGGCGCCAATGCGTCGCACCTCAGCCAAGACGTAGACCGAGATCGAGACGTTGCATTATTTGGGTCAGCTGCAGTTGCCGTTGCCGTTGCAGTTGCAGCAGCTTTTTTTTACGCTCACCCATTCAGTCTGGGTGCTGTGCCTGATAAGCCGCCATGCAAATGGACAGCGGCGCCTCACTGCCAGCCGCAGGCTGCCCTGGCCTGGCATTGATAGTGCCTGGGGTCGCCTTGACTCCAAACTCAAATAGCTCGCACTGCGCCTTAATAATCCGAAGGGAGGGGGGGGCGTTACTTGGGCTCCCACCTCGCACTCGTTTTATTTGCTTAGCAATTGTGTTTGCACCAATTAAAAGATAAATCTCTTTACGTCTGCTGCACTCCCCCTCTGCCCCTCTGCCCCTCTCCCATACTCCTGCGCCACGCAGCGGAAATGAGAGTGGGATTTTGGCATATTTGTGCGAGGCGAAGCTTTTTCTAAATATTTACTTAGATACAGTTGCAGATACAGTTGGAGATACATACACAGATATATGTAGATACAGTTACAGTTACGGATACAATTACATAAACGTAAACAAATACGCTTATCGGAACCAATTGGATCGTATTACGCACCTCCGTACATTTCTAAGAGCTCGCGCGTCGATAAAAGTAAACGAACATTTTTAGAACTTTCAATGCATTGTCCTTCTAATATATAATATATATATAGAATAACTGGAAAATTCGTGTACTTTGCGACGTGGAAAAGTCTAGTTTGCTTCTTGGTTAGTAAATCCTATGGACGGCTCTAAGTCCAATTATTGACAGAACTACAAATGGGTTTGAGTTTATAAAAGCATTTTTCTAAGCAAATCAAAAATGCTATATAGGGATATTAGATATGCAAGATTTCGCAGCTAGAATTATACAATATACCATCAATTCCCGATGGCATTGATTACATACGTTGAAATTCTTAGCAGAATATACATATATGTATGTCTATGCTTGACGTAAAAGTTCTTCGTTTTCACTTACCTTTGAGTGCTTCCACATTAAGGTAAATTCTTCAGTTTTTATGAGCGGATCCCTATTGAATTTGGTCTTCTATTCTCACTCGTTAATATATTTTGTGCACCGATGCTACATAATATGTGTTTGATTATTTTGTTGTTTTTTATTTTTTTCTTTAATAAACGCAACTACGTTCTGGAAATGAATAGGGCACGTATTCATCAGAAGCCTATGAAATCAAGGTCTGCTTGTCTAGTTTGATTAGTATATACAATACTTAGTATGGAGATGTGACAGAAATGTCAAAAGTATATACTATTACAGTATTACTGCTCTACTATGTAACCCTGTTCCAAAGTCCGAATATATAAACTCGTTGAAGTGGACAACTCTTCGAGCTAGAGATTCGACTTTGTCTCAAGCAATCGATAGCAATGTCCGTGACGTCGATAACAGGAATATATATCGAACTTCTGTGCTTTAGGCTTGTTTCCAAAGGATATATAATATTATTACCAAAATATACTGTCTAGATATTCAGTTTACTCCGAATTAGGCTGTCTCTATATATTTTTGGCGAATTATGCCATTGCCAGATGCACTTTACTCCGAATTAAGCCCTCAATTTATGCACTTTAGCTATATGCACTCTGAGCTATATTACGCCTTCGCCATTACTCCGAACTGTGTCCTGCGTTTATGCACTTGACTCCGAATGATAGCATTCATGCTTATTGTTACCCCGATATATATATATATCTTACCCCGAACTATACATTTGTTTATATGCACTATATGCCATCCATATATACACTTTATTCCTAATTATACCATTAAAGTAATTTACTCCGAATTATCCCATTGATATAATAAATGATAGATCTGATATATAGAATACAAATATTTGGATATATTTCTGTAAGAGCAGCTGAACACAGAAGATAGGGTATCTTATAGTCGTATAGTCTGATATGTTTATGTTTTTATTTTATGTCACATCTAGTTGAAAAGTGTGAAATAAAATGGAATGCATATACATATATTTATATATTTATATTACAGAGTCAATGGAATTTGCAGTTTTCAGTGACTGAAAATACTTTTGTTTCCCTCTCCAGCATCCACCCCCCCTCTCCCTATCTCTCTCTTTTCCCCTGAACTTTACGTGCTAATAAGTTGGCAGCAAAATAACAGTTGAGAGCCGTAGCACCAGCTTCTCTGACGACACTGTGATTCATGTGGTAGAGGCAGGGGATGGGGAATGCAGGAACGAGGAACGACGTGAAACGAGCAGCGCGAAACGAGGAACGCTGAAACGTCGTTAGACGCCAATATTAGCGACGTGTCAATTGGTCAATCAGGCAATATTTGTGACGGCGACAATGGGACGTGTGCAGTAGAACTGTATTGGTTAGCCGCATTATTAGCGGGGTCTAGAGCGAATGCCTGGCATACCCTACGGGCCAGTTGACTCAGCCATCGCCTAAGATGTGGGCAATACAAATACTTATATATATACAAATATATATACATATATCCATATTGCTTATCTGGTATTTCGAAATGCTGAGCGTGTTTTCATTCAATTTTATGGCTAGCAAATCGCTTGCGACAGCAAAGTGTGCTATTCCGATGACTAATCTGAGAGAGAGAGAGATAGAGAGAGAGAGACAGAGAGGGTGCAACTGTAAATTGAATTGTAGCATCCGATATATGTATATACTAAGACAGTTGTTTCTCTATTGTTTTCTACAGCTTGAGCTTGAGAGCCCCCAAAGCATGTGTTCAGCTGTTTTCCCCTATTTTTTTATTTTTGTTTATTTTCTTTTTTTTGCCTGCGGAAAAAGCAACTTCAACTTAAATATTAATACACAAGTTAACAACATTTTGGAAAGTCTTGTAAACCAGAAGAAGAAAAGACTTGGCCAAAGGGTTCTACCAGCTAATCTAGTCTAAAGATAGACTTCGCTTTGCACCGATAGGTGTCGATCAATTTCGATAATTGTCTATCAATGTCAATGATTGACGATAAGTGTCGATCAGTACACGTACAGTTTATGAATTTCTATTCCAGTCTTCGTTTTATGGAGCGTACTTGAGGGGGATTGTTCAAGTTAAAATAATATTTAGGTCGATCTGCGTCGATTAATGCCGATTAGTGTAGATCAATGTCAATCAATGTCGATAAGCATCGATCAGTGTCGATCATGTATAGTTTCTAAAGTTCTGTTCCAGTCTAAAGTGTAGTGCAAAGTGAGGTGAAGAGTTAAATTTAGAATAATACTTGTGTCTTCTACAAGTTCAGGGTCGTATAGCTTCTCTCTTATGGAAACTACTTAAAAGTTTTCCACTGAGATATCAGAGAGCATTGTCAGGGAATGTAAGTAGGGAATGCGATTAGCTGTGGGATAGCGGATTAGTAGATTAAATAGACAATTTAATTTATCTCAAATACTATTATAATGTATTGATACCGCAGGATATCGACTGCTTAGCTGATTTTACTTTTTCCTACAGCATATTGAAAGCCTGGCATGAGAACGCCTGAACTCGCGAATTCAGCTCAGAATTAAAGGTCTTTAGAAAAGTATAGCTCGATTCTCGTTTACTAAACCCTGTTGTACTGTGTGTGTGTGTGTTTTTTTTTTTTTTAAGGAATTTATTGTTCTCGGATATTAAGTCAGTTTTTAGTTGCTGTTCGTGTAAATATTTGTTGCACTTGCATTACAGTTTCTATAACTATTCACTAGCTACTGCTTGTTTTTAAGGAATTTACTGTTCTCTGATATTATTTCAGTCCTAACTTGTTTTTCGTTGCATTTGCTTTGCAATTACTACAATATATTTATAATATTCGTATATGAAACTAGCTTATTCGGAACTCATATTTTTTTCTATGTTCTGAGTTTGTTTTTCGTCACCTCATTCGCTAATGATCTACTTGTATTACGCATAATATTTGAAAATGGATTTGTGCAGATCGCAGTCTAAAAATATTTTTGTTATCAGCTAACCAACATTCAACCCACACTCAGCATGATTCATAATAGAAAAGAATTAATTGTAAACTAAATATTTGCTATTGACTTAATTTTTTTTTTTATGGCATCTGATAGCCAAACGACAATTGTACCGGATGTCGTTATAGAGAGCTATAATTTGTTGTATTATATATATTAGTCAGAATGCAGTTTCTATGGGCCAAATTGTTGTTGTCCTATGCTCCTCACCTGATATTTTGCACGTCAACATTTCTCATTCGCATGTGCTACGACTGCAAGCATTCAGCAGATAAGACAAACTTATCTTTTATCAGCCTATCAATCATAAAAGAGATGTCTCACTATTTGAAACATTCTAGAGCTTTATAGAAGTGCTTCGGCAATAGTTATAGGAAATATACTCAATTATGGCTATAAAATGAAGTTATTGTGAATAACATTTGCGATAACTGTATTTAATTTATTAACACGATCCCAAAGGGTGGAAAAACTATTTTACTACGCCTTGGATATATGCGCTTTATTCTGGATTTTACTATGAACCTATATTTACTCCGAATTATGTCATTCATATATTTTGCTCCGAGCTATGTTAATTGATTTCGCCGTGTGACGTCCAAATAGGCCTGTTTAGTCCGAATTATTCTTCACTCCGAATTATGGGGATAAAAAAGTGGGCCTTTACTTGCCTTTTCATCCGTATACTTGATTCCGAATTATGTTCGCACATTTTACTCCGAACTAAGCCATCGACATATGCATACCACTCCCAGATATGATCTTTATAATAAAGGAGTTATCATACTCTTTCCGTGGACGTGTGCATTTTACTCCGAAAACTGCACTTTACTGAAAGTTATATTATATAATTATGATCTAGAGGGTTAGGAATTCTGATTTAACTCGGAGTAAAGTGAATTTTTCGGATGGACATCTCAACATATTCTACTCCAAGCTGCGTCGTCTCTGTAGACTTTATTCTTCTTCATTTCGCTGCCATATCTCTATGGATTCTTTCATCTATCTCATTGTAAGGGATTGACCACTTCAAGAGTTTAATTTGTTTTCTTGTCGTATTTTCTGTATTTCATATAGCTTTCACTGGAACTGGGAAATGTGACAACAGACTACGATGGCTCCGGCGAAACCTCCTCAAAGGGTAAGCATACCGAGAGGGAAGAACCAAATGAGCAGATCACTAATTTTCATATCGCTCTTTGTTTTCGTTCTATTCTATTTCATTGGCACAGAGACTTTCAAGCGCAGTGTGGCACGTGGTATGTGGAGGAGAGGATGAGTGCTCAAAAATTCACGGTTTGCTAATTGATGTACAATCGAATCTGTTTCAGCTGCCATTCGGAATGCGACGCCAGCGAGCTGCTCGCCACAGCCGACGATCGTGGAGCTGAAGCCACTGACGGAGCAGGGCGGGGAGCAGACGGCCTCGAATGTCTACTATTTGCCAGCGTGCACGCGCATCAATCGCTGCAACGGATGCTGCGGCTCCACGCTGATCTCGTGCCAGCCGACGGAGACGGAGACGCTGCAGCTGCGCGTGCGCAAGGTGGAGCGCTTTGGGGCGAGCAGCAAGCGGGGCTATGCCATTGTCAATGTGGAGCAGCATTTGGCATGCAAATGCGATTGCCGCATCAAGGCCGAGGACTGCAATGCGTACCAGGAGTACCGCAAGGATCTCTGCCGCTGCGAGTGCCAGAACACAGATGCGCGCGACAAGTGCCTGGAGCAATCGGATCACAAGTATTGGGACGACGCCAACTGCACCTGCGCGTGCCGCTACAACCAGAGCTGCACTACCGGCACCGTCTTCGACGAGGCCCAATGCAAATGCACCGATGTGAGTGACGACCGCGACATGTTACCAACTTGATAGATTAGATTGGCCCAAATTGTTAGCCTGGGCTTGGTTTCTGGTTCCGGTTCCGGTTCGGGTTCGGTTTGTGGGTTATAGGTTCTGTTTAAGCACTGACTGGTTGATGGTTTACTGGTTAGTCGATGTCTTTAAGTCCGAATCTGTATACATGTATATACATATATATATATATATATATATATATAATTATGTAATTATGTCGTTGTTTGCCTAGGCTTAAATATCTTAACTGTAATTCTGTTGTAATTCTGTATTTGTCTTTATTTAAATGTGTTTCTCTGTTTTTGTTTCTTTTATATTCTTTATTTTAGATCAAGAGTCTCGAGTATTATTCCTAGACTACATACATACATACATTCATACATACTGAAATAGCCTTAAAAACAAAACTGACTTAAATAGTAGTTGTAGCTGTTGTTGTTGTTGTTGCTGCTGCTTGGTTCGATTGCAAAGGCAGCTTTCAAGTAAATCATTCAGTTTATATACCATATAAAGTAATCATATTCATAATCATGATCAATCAAGGCAGCAACAACAAATCGACGACATCGCACTACAATGTGATACTACCTAAAAGTTTGCCAAATTGGAAATTCATATCAAAAACTTCAAATTTATTTAAAAGAATGTTTTTTTTTTTTTTTTTTTTTTGGCTGTTGTTGTTTTTGTAAGGCAAGTGTAACTTATAGCTGAGTTGAGGCCATGAAAATGAAAAAGAAAAAAAGAAAGAAATTACAAAAGTAAATATGAAAGAGAAACACACAACGTCAATTGTGTTGCATTGTGTGAGTATTTGTTATAATTTATGTATGTAATTTATATCCATATGTTAAGATCTTGCATGTGCTTTAGTATCTATACCCCTGCATCCCAACCCAGCTTGATTATTATTCAGTTTATGTGCTTTGTATTCCCCATTCCAGTTAACACAGCTATTAACCATTATTATCTTGATATATACATATATATGAATATCCATATATAAGTGAGTATACTAATCTCTATCTCTCTCTCTCTCTCTCTCTCTGATGTGATCGCAGCCCTCGGCGCCCAGCGATGTGGCCGACCGTCGACGCTTCATCGTACAGGCCGTGGAGGCCGTGGAGCCGGACAACAGCACCCTATACAGCGTCTAGGAGGGCAACCCAATTACAATACTTATTTATATAAAACCTATAGCTTTACTATCATACATATGTAGCTATATGCATCGATATACCAACGTATATATACCTATATAGATGCCGTATCATTTATTTCAGTATTGCCAATTCTTTCAATTCGTAGTCCTTTTGTGTGTGTTTGCTTGGCTGCCAGACATTGTGCATTCCATTTAATCGTTACTAGTATATGTTCTATCTTCCATAGACAATTTAAGTTTTAATCTTTGCGCATTTTAAAATCACATTTCTGTCCAGTTAGCTCTTAGACTTAAATAGCAAACGCAGTTACATTGTCTTTGTCTTTGTATGAGTTAGTTGTAGACTTCATAATGATATATTACTAGAATTCCTATATTATACATGCATATATATATATATGTACACATATGTATATATTATATTGAACATTTTCGTTACATTCAAAGATGAAATTAAAAAAAAAAAAAATAAAAATATATAACACTTTTAAAGAAATACAAAAAAATTATAACCAATAAACTTGAGTTTTCTTTGAATCTATCGAGCTCTGAAAAAAACTTTACTAAAGCTTAAATTTTGTGATCAAAATGGCATTTCAATTCATTTGGTGGTTCTGTAGATAAGTTTTTACATGTTAGAACAAAAAATAAATAAATCATAAAAAAATTTTTTATCTAAAATGATAAATTTATATAAGTAGATAAGTAATAAGTGCGTTACAGTAAATAATTTATTAAGTTGCTCAACCCTTTATCTGCTTAGAGTGCATCGCTTCGAACTCTCCACTAAAAATTCTGACATTGGAGATATCCGATTATCTTGTGCCCTCAGCACGAGGCGTATAACGGCGTCTATAATGTAGGATTGGGCGGAACCGCTACGGTGGCTATGTAAAGATTGAACTGAATGAATATGAATATAAAAGTGAATGTCTCCAATTGACGGAACGATAGCAGACATGTAACTTCAAACAGGATCCATCGATTACGGGAACAATGAATCCACTCGCTGCGGGACAATACAATTAGAATTCAGCTTGTGATCAGCCGAGAGAGGTACAATTGATACATTGATTTGCTTTTAATTCAAGTGATCCATTAAGATACATTAATGTTGCATGATTGATAGCTACAATTATTGGAATCTCGGACATTATGTTAAGGTAATTTACGGGGTAAAGCACAAGGGATCTCGCTGGCATTACCATTAGGCATCATATTCTCATCATCATCATCATCAACATTATCATCATTATTATTATCATCATTGCTATCCAATGTCATCGTCGATTGGGACATCGTCCGGACATTGCATATAGATTTGTATATCCAGTCTGTAGCTGAGCTGCTCGAGCCGACGTCGAGCGATCGGATCTCATTTGACATCGAGAGTGCGCTGGAACATGTGCATGGCCAAGGAGCGCAATCCCTCGCTGACAATGGGCACGTTGCGTGGGAAATCACATTCGCGAGCGGGCAGCCCGCAAAGCTGGCGTCGCAGGCGTAAATCCTGGCGTGAGCTCAACGCACGACTGCCCGGCCCGCAAACGTTGCCGACCAGACGCTGGCGCTCGGCGGCGGCGCTGCGCAGGCCCATCTGGACGCAGGCCAGCGGCTCCACATGCTCGGTGTCCAGCAATTCGCGATAGTCGTGTGCCGGCGTCGTCTTGCCCGTCTCGACCGTGTCGTGTTCGGGCTCTGTCTTGACTAGCGCCTGATTCTGCTGCGCCATTTGCTCCTCCAGCAGCAGCTGCTGTCGCGATTCCTCAATTATTTGCCGTGCATATTTCGCGCCAGCCATGCCAAAGCTGATGCCCATATCGAGCAGCACGCGATGTGGCTGCCATCGCTGTTTGGCCGATGTGTTGCGATCGGCGCCCTGCTGTGCCGCATGCTCCGTTGCCTGCTGACGCGTCTCCGCGATCAAGCCCTGCCAGTCGACGCCCAAAGCATCACCAATGCCTGTAAAGCGAAGTGCATGAATTAAATTTGTGCTGTCATCCTGCATCCAACATTTGCTTGGAAGGCAGAGGATTTATTCATCCATTTTTATCTTAGAGTTCTTGCTGTTGCTCTTGTCTCTTACCCTTGTGCCTCGCGTCCTCTTCCAATTCGCCATCGGATATCTCCTCAAAGTCCAGCACCTCGTCCACGTCCTCGTTCTTAATGTTTGTCTGTGACTGACACTGCGACTGTGACTGTGACTGACTCTGTGACTGAGACTGTGACTGTGCCTGTGACTGGGACTGAGGCTGCATTTCGCCTTTGATGTGCTCGTCACTGTTGGACAGCGTGTCAGCGGACAGCTCCTGGGTGCCAGCCAGTGCGCCCTCCAGTTGCAGCTCGCTCTTGGGCTTTACCTTATCCGTTTTGTTCAGTATATCGTCGTCACTGTCGCTGATCTCGCTCAGTTCGCCGTTGGGCTTTGGCTCCTCTTTCAGCTGACGCAGGGACGTCTCCATGCCCGCGGCCTGCTCTGCTGCCGGCTCACTGGCTCCGGTGCTTTGGCCGGGCTCTGGCATGTCAACGGAATCCTCGGACGCATCCTCCTGCTTAATGTTTGGCAACTTGCTAACCTGTGCCAAGATTCCCGGATTGGTGGTGGCATTGGCTGCGCTCTGTGCGGCTGCCTTGGCTGCGGCCACTGCTGTGGTGGCCGCCGCTACGGCGCTGGCCTGTGCCGCGGCATTGCTTGGCTTGGGCTGGGCATGGGCCGGTGCCTGGGCTGTGGACACCGTTGCAGCTGCTGCTGTGGGCGGTAGATGTGGGTGCTTCTTGAGAAATGTGTTGCCTCCCATGCCGGCGCCTCCGCCATAGGGCAGACGCTTGTGCGGAAAGCCACGCGTGCTGCCGCCACCGCCGCCATGATAGCCACCGGGCGGCTGCACCGGCAGTGTCATTAGAGGCGGGGGATGCGATCTGTAGCCGCGCTCGCCATGCTCGTGACCGTGCGACGGTGCACCGCCACCTCGCCGGAAACCGCGCCCACCACCCCGTTCCCCGCGTGCGTGCACATGATGATGCGGCGAGGATGACGGCGGATGATGAGGCGGCTGCCCCTCGCCGCCGTTGCCATTGCTGCGGCCGAAGCTCGGCTCATCGTTCTCGCGCCAGTCATTGTTGGGCTGCTGCCAGGGGCGTGGCTTGTCGCGCTGATCGTGCTCAAGCCAGGCTGGCTCATTCTTGACCACACCGACGTTGCCGTCGGCGCACTCCTCGCGTTCATCGGCATCCCAGTCGGGCTCCGAGGCGGAATGATGCTGCTGCTTGCCCGGCTGCTGGCTCGATGGTTTCGGCCGTTTGGGGCCACCCACGAAACCGGCGGCACGTCCAGGTGTGCCGCTGCCATTGGCGCCGCCGCCGCCACCGCTATTCCCGCCCCCACCGCCGTTATCCTCATCCCAGTCGCGCTCCCATTCGGCACGATAATCGCCGCGTGACGGCAAACGCTCGCGCTCCCGCTCTCTGTTCCGCTCACGTTCGCGCAACATGCGCTCCCGCTCCTCGGCATAGAGTGCATCATCGGCGTCCAACTCCCGATAGTCGCGCAGGTCGCGCGCCTCTAGCCACGCCTCTCGATCCCTAGAGTAGCGCGCATCCATATACGCCCGCTTGTAGGCCCTGCAACAAAAGAATTGCGTAAAATTAGGCTCTGACATGCGAAGGTTCTCCGAGCAGCTAATCTTGGGTGAATGAGAACTGGGAGGAAGAGTCTAAGCAAACTAGATTCTAGATTCTCTAGTTGATTAGCAAGGGTCAATTTCTGTGCAGGGGCAATCGTCATATACAATATATAGTTACCGCTCTCGCTCCTCCTCCGAGTAGAGATCGCGCGGATCTCGTAGACGTGGCGGATAGTGATCGGGCAAGGGGCTGAGCTCGCGACGCCTTTGATCTCCGTATCGTCGCATCTCGCTGATCAGGCCATGGCGCTCGGCCTCGATCAGCTCCTGTTCGCGCTCGTAGACGTCCAAGTCGCGCTTGTCGCGCACATGACGACCAGCCCGATCCACGGTCTCCAGCGAACGCTCGCGACTGCCGTATGGCATGGCCATTTCCATGTCGCGTACACCGGGCGCACCATACGGCTTCTTGCCCTCCTCCTCCTCCTGGCGACGCAGCTTCTCACGAGCTAAGCGCTCTCGCTCCCGCTGCCGCTCTTGGCAGCGCGCCAGTGCCTCGGCTCGCTCCTTGTCACGAGCCGCCTCACGCTCGGCACGCTCTCGTTCACGATCGCGCCGATCCCGTTCCCGTTCACGTAGCGATAGGTCATCGTGGCGCTGCAGCTTGTGCTCGTGCCGCTGCCTCTCGTGCTCCCGCTCTACGCGTTCGCGCTCCCTCTCTCTTTCGCGTTCGATGCGCTCGCGCTCGCGCTCTCTCTCGCTCACGCTCTAGCGACGGAGTGCGTCCACGTGTTCGTGTCTGGATGATGATCTTCTCGCGTGACATGAGCTGATGATGCATTCGGGCGGTGGGCGTGCCATTCGGCCCCAGGCCCGAACCGGGACCTGGACTCTTTTGCCGCTTGCCCACCACATCCTGATGTATGCGTATTTTGGTGGTGGTCGTGGTGCTGGAGGCGCCGGTGGGCGATCGACTGCTGCCTAAGCGATGGTGATCCCGATCGCGCTCCCGCTCCCGTTCCCTATGCACACTCCGTAGCTTTTCGCGCTCCCGTTCTCGCTGCTCTTTGCTGGCCACACGCAAATGTTTGCGCTCCGCCAGCTTCTTGAGTTTCGCCTGTGTGGCTGGGGACAGGGCGCGATGCCCGTGTCCACTTAGCGCAGCAGCTGCTCGCTTCTTGAGGCGCGCCTCCTTCAGCTTGCGCTTGATATGATTGCGTTTTGCAACCAGTTTCTTCTGAACATGATCTCGGTCTCGGTCACGATCGCGCTCCCTGTCCCGCTTGTCGCGCTTCCGTCGCTCGTCGCCCGACGATGTGCTGCCCGTGCGACGCGAGCTCTTCTTTTTCCGGTGATGACGCTCAGCTGCACGCTGATGCGGATGGGCATGACCATGGTGGTCCCGTTCGCTGTCCGAGCTGCTGTACGAACTACTGCCACTGTCTGTGTCTGTGCTGGAGCTGTCGGTGCTCGAATGTGTGTGCCGTGACTTTTTATACCGACGCAATTGCTCTTTTGCCTTTTTTTCCATCTCCATCGAAATGCACTTCAAGAGTAAAACACACTTTCTTTACTGCACAATTCCCGCGCTTTCGCCGCTACGAATGCTTAGTTTTCTTTCGGTTGCACTTTTGTTGATGTTTTTGTTTGTTGCTTAGCGTCGTTTATATTGTAATTTTGTAGCTACAATTTGTCAGCTTATTTATTTTTCTAATTTAGAATTGCATTGTGTTAAAGTTATCGATATATTTACAGCCCTGTCGATGCGTTGGCAAAGTTGTGAGCGATTGTCAACAGGTGTCGCCCTAGTGCGCACAAATCAATGGCGCCAAATTGTATGCACATTTGAAATTGATGTAAAAGCGCAAACATTTGGTAACTCATAATTTATTATTATATTTACTTACATAATGTTGATAGAAAAGAAACAAACATCTCTCACGAGGCCGTATATACTTTGTTCTTATATTTACTTTTACAATATTGATATAAAAGTTATACATAGTAGATGAAGAAACATTTGGTCATTCATATATTGACATTTTATTCTTATATTTACTTATATAATATTGATATAGAAGGAACATCTTTGAGGCCAAGCTTTTGGTCACTCATATATTGACTTATATAATATATTACTATTTTCTAAAGATTAAGTAATTTACATACTACTTGGCCGAGGTTTATAACTAACAGTTGGCTGTAATTTGCAAAATAAGAATATAAGTAAGAATATCTTTAAACTTAACTTGAGGCACTTGGATTATTCGTAGTTAAAGGTTTACATAATAGCTACAGCTTGAAGATTGAATATGCATTATGCCTTCGATGTTTCATTTCGATGAGTGTTCTGTGTTTGTTGTTGCCCTCACTCGGTTCCTTCTGTGTGTGCTTTTAGGTGGTGAATGCCTCATGCCAAAAACTGTGTTAATGATAATAGAACAATAACAACTGCAATTTACGGAAGGGCCAAGCCGGCGTTCAGTTGCTCTATCACTAAAGCTTGCGGAGCTTCTCAGGCACAACTAATGGGTTATCGCGGCGTATCTCGTTGGCGCCCATTTCACGATAGTCGAAGGTGCAATCATGGCGATCGCTATAGCGATGGACGGCACAAAAGGTGCCACCGCAACGGCAAGGGAATCCGCCGGTCAGACCAAGTTTCTTGCCACACTTGTCGCAGCCCTTCTTGCTCGGCTGCTCCTGAGCCTGTCCCTTGCCACTGTCAGCAGCTGATGGAGCAGCTGCCTGCTCTGACTCACCACCAGACGGCTGCTGATTGCCGCCCTCGGCCTGCTCATCCACTTGCTGGTGCTCATCTGGTAGATCTTCGACGCATATGGACAGAGGGCTCAGTGCAGTCCCGGTGCCTGGTGTCACATTTAACGGTGCCCTCGAATCCATGCTCTTTGACTTAAACGTCGAGATTGACTCAATTGCGCCCTCATTCGCATTGGCAAAATCGCGGATTTCTCCATTATCCATCTTAACCGGGTCTTCAGATTCGATCGTCAAAGCCTTCAGTATAAATTTTATTGAATTTTGCTGCCCAAGTCTACTACGACTTCCAAGTGTCTGAACAACCAGCAGATGAATGTGCATTAAAGCTACGCAAAGCCAAAAAATCAGTTAGTTATGGAACAACTGCTGCCAGCCCGGCCCCTAACAAACTATCGATTATCGAATTTACTACATATATGTACTTATTTCGAGTTAGATCAAATAACACTGGATTTTCAAATGTTTTCGTTCACTGCTCGACTACCCAAACGATTAATCAACACCAAAAATCCAAACATCTTTTATCATTAATCATACAAGCTAAATATGTCTGTATGTGTGTATGTATGTATGTATGTGGTCCCAATCACCTAATTGCTTGCATTGTTATTGCGCCCATTATCGCCAGCCTAGGCGTTGCCATTGATGACGTCCTGCATGTGGTGGCGATACCAATCGCCCACCGCGGTGCGCAGCACACAAACAAAGGCGCCGTAGCACCAGTCCAGCGCCGTTCTGGCCGAGCGACGAGCATGCGCATTGCAGCCATTGATGGCCGGCACGGTCTGCTCCAGATTCAGACGCCTCGGGCCGCCAAAGCTTTCGACAATGCGCATCGGATCGAAGCCGGTGCCATCGTGCCACAGCTGTAAGCGCGTCCAGAAGCAATAGACATAGCGATGCACATAGGGTACATTGCTATACTGCTGTCTGTCCAGGGCCAGGCGCTGATTCGGGCTGATCCGCTCGCTGCGGAAGCATTGATCTCGAGCACGCAGTATGGCCAGCGATTGGGCGGATCGGGCTGAAGGAGTGGGTGGTGGTGGCGGTGGCGGTGGCGGCAAAGCCAACGGCCCACAGTTAGCCAGTAGCGATAGCTGTAATTGTTCAATGGGCAATTGCAATTATCGTGTTATCGATAACATGACCGATGAGCGAACCGAATTCAAAAGAATTGCAAGCGCAATTTCAAAGTTAATTGCGCTTAAACAGGTTTTCTTTTAGCATACAACCTGAGCATTTAAATAAGTTAAGCTAAATTGTAAATTGCACATGAGCCACTTCTAATTGCGAGACTCAGATACGTACAGTCACAGTTAAAAGTCTTTGCACAACACGTAATTGTTCTTTGTTCAGTGATTGACGCAACAGTTTTTTTTTTTCTTTGCCATTCTTTGCGACGGTTTTTGTCCAAGTCTCACAATTTAGCGAGCTATTTCGATATTGGACATGAACTGCAAATTTGTCACAAAATTAAGAGAACTGTGAATGGAAATCTGATTTAAAATTTTGTACAATTTAATGAGAAAACAAATCTGAAATGTATATGTAAAGCTGAGCTGAGCTGAGTTTTGACTAGGTCTGCCCTGATGTACTTGTTGCAGCGCCTCAAGTAGCCTCCGGCTAGGCTTAATTGAGCTAATGACTCACCAGCAGCGGCATCAAGATCAGCATTCGCACGAATGTCATCTTGGGTCCACCTATAGAGCAGCACTGAGCGACATCTGGATAAGCGCTTATCAAGCTGAGCTGATCGTTGGAGCGGCAGACGCAGCGTTGATAGCCATAGCCATAGCCATTGCCATTGCCATTGCCACTCTGATTGTTATTGCTAGCCACAATCATGCCGCCCAACCACCCACCAGATGATCGACTGCAGCAGGAATGACGTCAGCAAATTGGCATTTGGCACGTTACGTACGTAGTTGAAGCCAGAGCCGTATCCAGTTGGGTAGGCAATCGAATTGGATTGGCAGTCACAGCTGCCGTTCGTCATCTGTTTTATGTTAACACATAAGTCGGGCATATAATAAGTATTCACAATCTTTCTCTATCTGTGTGTGTGGGTGTGTTTGTGTGTGTGTGTAGATAGATGATCACTTATGTAGATCATGTGCATATGGAACGCAGCGGCAACATTTTTGTAAGATTCCACACTTGTATTCGCTTGTAAACAATATTTGCGTTTCACTTCTCCTCTGGCCTCTTCTCTTTACATGTATATACCTATAAATATATATATTTTGTATTTGATATTTTTGGGTGATCTTGCAAATGGCGCAGAAGCTAAAAATCCATATCCAAATCGAAATCCCCTACACCCCCATCACATCGAATAGCAAATCAAATTGAATTCGATTCGACAGGCAACCGAAACGAGCGCATTAAAATTGATTGCGTTTAAGTATATTAAAATCTAATAGAACTTTAGAGCAAATCTCCAAGGCTGCTGGGCCCGGACTGCTTGCCTGCTCGCCTGCCTGCCTGCCATCTGGACGTGATCATCATGTGCTCCCCTCCCTCCCCTCTGTCAGCAATTATCGCTAACATTTTGCTGCAATGTTTTCTCGAAATGCCCGTGGCATTTAGCATTGCAAGATCAGTCAGTTACAAATGCGGAAATACTATATATGATATAATATATAATATCCACATATGTATCATAGGATCGATCATAATATTCATGCATATATTTATACTCTATATTTATATGAGATATATTAATATGTCATATATTATCTTAATTTCCCTAGAAGGGATCTGTTCAACTCCAACACATGTATATATATGTATTTATATGTATCTATTAATAAAGCGGATCCCAAAGTGAGTGTCTTTAAATGTATTTTTAGTAGATCAAAAACAAATATTTTTAGGACTTCTTCATTATATTGCACACGCAACATCCGCCTGGCTGGAAGTACTTACTTGGTTACCTGGTAACAGTTGATAAAAAAAAAAAAAAAAAAAAAAAAAAAAAATGGGAAGCTTTTGTATGCTTTGTGTCGCCTTGAAAATGGGAATTCTGGGTATAATGCTATTGTGGCAAGGTATGCAACAGGTAGATGACGACATCGCAGAGAATAAGGTATTTTTTTCTTAGGCAGCATGACGGGCTTGAGCACCACAAATGTTGGTAATTACATATTAAATGTGGTGGTTACGATAATGAATACGTAGTCTTTATCATGGATATGGCAAAGCTCCGTACTTCCCTTAAATTTAAATAGTAATGCATAGCTATATACACGCAGCTATTTGTCATTATCATGCACTGAAAAGTTGATTAAATACGTCTTTGTAGAGCACATTCCGGGAGCAGCCTGCGCGAAGCCCAAGCACAGCCCAAGAGCAGCCCAGGAGCAGCCCAAGCATACCCCAAGCACAGCCCATGAGCAGCCCAGGAGCAGCCCAAGCGCAGCCCAAGAACAGCCCAAGAGCAGCCCAAGCATAGCCCAAGAGCAGCCCAGGAGCAGCCCAAGAGCAGCCCAAGCATAGCCCAAGAGCAGCCCATAAGCAGCCCACGAGCAGCCCAAGCATAGCCCAAGAGCAGCCCAGGAGCAGCCCAAGCATACCCCAAGCGCAGCCCACGAGCAGCCCAGAAGCAGCCCAAGCGCAGCCCACGAGCAGCCCAGAAGCAGCCCAAGAGCAGCCCAGGAGCAGCTCAAGCGCAGCCCAGGAGCCGCCCAAGCGTACCCCAAGCGCAGCCCACGAGCAGCCCACGAGCAGCCCACGAGCAGCCCAAGAGCAGCCCAGGCATAGCCCAAGAGCAGCCCATGAGCAGCCCAAGAGCCGCCCAAGCGTACCCCAAGAGCAGCCCAAGCATAGCCCAGGAGCAGCCCAAGAGCCGCCCAAGCGTATCCCAAGAGCAGCCCAAGCATAGCCCAGGAGCAGCCCAAGCGTACCCCAAGAGCAGCCCACGAGCAGCCCAGAAGCAGCCCAAGCGCAGCCCACGAGCAGCCCAGAAGCAGCCCAAGAGCAGCCCAGGAGCCGCCCAAGCGTACCCCAAGCGCAGCCCACGAGCAGCCCACGAGCAGCCCACGAGCAGCCCAAGAGCAGCCCAGGCATAGCCCAAGAGCAGCCCAGGAGCAGCCCAAGAGCCGCCCAAGCGTACCCCAAGAGCAGCCCAAGCATAGCCCAGGAGCAGCCCAAGAGCCGCCCAAGCGTATCCCAAGAGCAGCCCAAGCATAGCCCAGGAGCAGCCCAAGCATAGCCCATGAGCAGCCCAGGAGCAGCCCAAGCGTACCCCAAGCATAGCCCAAGCGTACCCCAAGCGTACCCCAAGAGCAGCCCACGAGCAACCCAGAGCCGCCCAAGCGTACCCCAAGAGCAGCCCAAGCATAGCCCAAGCATAGCCCAAGCATAGCCCAAGCGCAGCCCAGGAGCAGCCCAAGCGCAGCCCAAGAACAGCCCAAGAGCAGTCGGAGATCAACCAAAATATAACCACAGTGCAGCCTGAGCGCAGTCCAAGCGAAGCCCAAGCACAACCTCAGCTCAGCCTAAATACAGCCAGAGGGCAGCCTATATAGAGACCGAGAGTCGCCCGAGAGCAGCCCAAGAGGAGCTCAGTGCCAGCCTGAGCGTTGCCTCAGTCGCTGCGTAAGCTGCGTGTGTAAAAGAAGCTTTCGGCGAGTGAAATAACGGCTCTTCCTGACTGCAGGTGCACGGTATTTACTAGTCGCACATAGCCGATTCGCGCTTTTCACTTGACTTGACTTATTTACAATATTTATTATTTGCAAGTCATATGTTCTAAGTGTATTTAAATGTAATGGAGCAACGAGAGAAAATAATATTTCTATCAGTTTACATGAGGCATAAGTACTTACACACACGCACACACATACAAACAGTGGTTGACTGTGTGTGAGCAGTGTCTGCGGCGGGTGGGGGGAGTAGGAGAGGCAGCTTGTGATATGTGGATGTCAACTCAACGCCAAATTTGCCGCCATCAACTGACGTCGCCGTCGGCGTCGTGACAAAGTCGCGCAAATATTTTAATTGCAATTTTTTTTGCGAGTGGCCGCCGTGTTGGTCGCATCGCATCGCATCGCATTTTCCTACCTTAAAATTATAAGTTAAATTAACAATTTTTAATTGACTCTGAAAATTAAAACAGCAACACGACGAGAGCTGCAGTCAAAATTTTGCGCCTTTTTTCAGCAAATTTTCATAGATATTTTGTGCAATAAATTGCAAAATATTATTTTAGATTTTATATACCCTAATAAAACAAGGGAATTAAACACTAAAATGGCTTTATGAACTGGCCTCAAAATAAGCTAAACATTGTTACAGGAAAGTCGAAATTCAGATGATTTATGAGGCAGCTAAGTGACAGTGGCCGAGGGATATGGCTAAGACAAGCAAATGTATGTGTGTATAAATAATCATATGTTTAAATTGGTATACAAATTTTGTATATTATTTTATATATACATATATAGTTTGTGTTTATTTACAAGCTTTAAATTTCAATTTAAATTAAAGTCCAAGCTGGCAAAAACTTCTCTGTTTTGGCAGTACAGCTCATAGTTAATACTATAGTCAAAGTTAAATACATTTGTTATAGTTTATCTTCTATCAATATATTTCCTATATAATATATGCTCGATCTTACAGGGTATCAAGTAGTTGAGCTAGTGCCTAATGCTTATTTAGAGTTATATATGCAAGTTGAATGTAATTTATATTTATTCCAACTATTTTCTATATAATTCCACTTATAGGGTATCTAGTAGTTGAGCTCAAAGAATAATGTTAGCTTAGTGTTATTTAAAGATATATGTAAATTGATTGCAATTTATATTTTGTCAATTAATTTGCCATATAATCGAACTTACAGGGTATCTGGCAGTTGGGTAATGCTGGCAAATCAAGGATTCTACTTTTTGTCTTGAGGCATTTACAGCAATTTGCTGCAGTCGTCCCACGCGGCGTATGAATGGTTAGATGTGTATGTGTGTGTGCGTGTGTGAGCATTGAGTCTATGTTTGTATTTGCTATGTATATGTATATAAATATTTATTTATATTTTTTTTAAGAATTCTTTTTTTTTTTTTTACATTTCAGCAGCGGAAGCAGCGCTGAGCACATGACACTGAGCAGAGGCTGCAAGTGGATGGCAAGTGGATGGCAAGTGGAGTGGACTGCTCAGTGCTGGGCGAGCTGGAGAGCGGAAGCGGAGCCTGGCCAGGAGCTGTTGCCGTTATTAGGGCGACAATTTTTGACATGGCTGCTGACATGGCGATGGCGATGGCAATGCCGATGCTGATCTCGATCTCGATCTCGATCTCGATGGCGTCAAATTTCCAATGGTCAACGGCGCGTAGCGCGGAACGCGTGAAAGCGCCAACAATTTGCACTTGTTGTTGTTTTCAGCATGGCAAGGCAAGGCAATGCAAGGCAAGGCAGAAACTGTGCCAGGCATTTGCCAGGTTTTTCAATTTGATTACATATTATTATAATATTATTATGCATACACATATTTCGGCCGTAGACTAGCAATTAATAATAGCAGCAGCAGCAGCAGCAGCGAGTCGTTCGCTTGATTTGCTTGGCATTTAATTCAATTTTATTAAATTAAAGTTGTTGTTGTTGCTGCTGTTATTGTTGTTGCTGGCACTAGTAGCCGGCAACGAAAATCTTGCGCATTGGCAACACATTCAGCCAATTGGCTGTCTACACTGCCGCCACCTGACCAACCTGATGACGTGAACGTCAGACATCATCTGCCTTGGGGCGGAGTGCTGGGGGTGGGGCTGCGGCAGGGGCTGCGGCTGGGCACAGCTGCAACGGAGCCGAAGCATGATGAGACGGTGTCAACATGGGCGTGTGTGTTGTTAGTCAATTGTCATGCTGTTCTCGATCACAAAATCTAAAAACAATTTCCCATTATTTGCCAAAACATTCCGAATTTTGGGTCTTTTCACTTGATTACCCATTGCAAATGCAGATGCATCCCATGTAGACCTATTTCTATATTTTATACATACAATTATTCTCCTAGTCTGTGAGAGACTGTTAATATATACATATATGTATACATATATATATATATATATATACATATATAGTTTTAGCCAAGTTTTACTCAATGCTAGGTAGCTCTGCTCCAACTGATGCGTTCCAAGCTTACACAGATCTCAGCTCTCTTTAGTTTCTGCCGAGCATCTCTCTTGCCTTCTACAAAATTATGGCTTCTTGAACAATTCGCTTTACGTAGTAGCGGAAGCATTCGAGTCTAGACAGCAGCTGTGTTTCATATGTAGCAATGAGTGTTTCCTTGATGTCAGTTCCGGTAAAGGCAATTATATTCAACCTTCTTCTGCTCCGCCAATCCATTCCATGAGGACAGCTCCAGCTGCTGTCTCATTCAAGGCAACTCTCAAGGCAACTTTAGCTGTCAGCAAGTGGGTAAAAGTTTCTCATGCTCTAAACTCAGACTCTCAACCCTAGATAGCTGCCTAACAGCTTCAGTTGATATGTCAGGTGCTGCAGTAGGTATTTAGTATCAGGCTCTAGTAATCTGTGCCGTGTAGCTATTCGATTCGATAGAGCCCTATCAGTATAATAGAATCATAATCATAATAATCTAATAATAACTAATAATATAATGCCACCTAGAGTGTTACTTGATCAAAGTCTAAAAGCCTTGTGAGCTGAATTTGATTGCCTTGCAATGCTTCACAATCTTTATTTATAATAACTGACGCTTAGGCGCTATGATTCCTGACTTCCTTGGCTTCGTTGGGACAGTCGAAGGTCACCTCCACGCCATTGGGCAGCCAGGTTCTGCTCCAGATCTCCACATCGCACACCTTCGTCTCGTTATTCGTATCGATCAGCTCCACCTTATATCTGTTCAATGTGCCAGTAACGACCTGGGTACTAGCCGATAGAATCCTTGAAACACTATAGGTAAAAAGAAAAACAAAAGTTTGTTTTTTTTAGGGAACTCAAGCACATTTGGTTGATAGAGGCTTACCGATAGTAGGGTCCACTGCCAGCTGCCAGCTTAGTGAGCGAGCTCTCCAAATTCGCCCTCGATTGCTCCAGGTCGTCGCCGGTTAGCTCGCGCGGTGCACCAAATCCCTGGGGATTGCCGCTGACCAGCGCAACAGCCGCACAGACCAACAAAATCTTTGCCACAAACATTTCTCGCTTCAAATGTCAAAGCCAGACTGAGCGCGAGAACCGAGAACTGCAATCGATTTATAGAGCAACGGTCATCGGCATCAGTTGGTGTCTTATCAGCGATTCACCTATGAAACTTAATGAGCGCTTGACCCTAATTTCTTGAAACTACATTATATTATCGTATATATTATATAATAATACATATATAATACAATATATAAATAAAGTGCGTATAGCTAGGAAGATTCCAATTGGCAAAGATGCCCTGATTGTCTGATTGTTACAGATATGGTTTGAATCCTAATGTCGCGAGGGGGGTGAGTGAGGCGTGCCACCCGGCCCAAGTTTTTCAGAGTCGGCAATCTGTTTAAAATGAATTGAAGGAGCAACAGCAGCTTTGTTGACTCTATTTGATTTTATTTAATTCTGTAATATGCCATCAGTGCATTCGGAAATTGGAATATTGATAAGCCCAATAACGTATATTCATTTATTTATAAGATCTTCACGCCGTTGTCAAAGATGAACAGAAGAAAAGTCGGCAATTTATCACCTATCATTATCGATGGCCTCACTACGCGCCGGAGTTGATTTAGTTATCCTCTGGCCTGAGGATATTCCATCGATCAGTTGATCTTCTGGAATCGTATTATGTTCTCGCCTGTGTAGGTCGGTTTTATCAAGCCAAACTTAATTTATAACTGCATGTCAAACATGAATAAACATTAGTTCATTAGAGATGAGAATTTATATAAAATGAAGAGCAATTCAACATTGAATACTGGCAGCTTGGACTTGAGCATGCATATAGGGTATTTACTGCATTCATATTTTCATATTGTCTTAGAAATGTTATTTACTTTGATGATAAATCATTTAGTAAATTTATAGACATTTAGCAACATTATAGACATTTCTCAATCTAAACACAATTCTAAAGGTCGAATAGATTCAACAACCAAATCACAGCTTGGACTACCATTTAAATTTCCCAGTCGCTTCGGTTAAGACATCTCGAACTGATCCGTATGAGTGCAAGTCAATCCACTAATCATAATCAATTATTTGGCTTTTGATCACTTATACATGTAGTTGGTTGCTACTCAATCCAAGTCCTGAAGTCCATGATCAATGCTTTGCGAACACAGAGACGAAAAAACGAAGCGAGTTTATTAAAAACCCAATTTCCAATCCTTATTTTGCATATATGTTGAGTTTCCTAACCCACGGAAGTTCGTTGAGGCACTTAAAAAACACCTCATTGCCCTTGCGCAGCCACGATCTGATAGAGACCTTAACCTCATCTGATTTAGTAGATCTTAACTTCGTCTGGTTGTTGCGTGCTCTCTTTAGAGAACTCAAATCATATTGAAGCGATGTCTGCTCAGCGAGGCACTCCTCCAATCTCCGATTGATAAATACATATGTACCTCTAATTTAGCTCCGCTTAGCTCGTCAGATGTTCCTGGGAATTGTTCCTGGGCATTGCCGTTATTAAAATCTTTATCACAAACATATCCCAATTGAAATATCAAACTGAATAAGAAAGAGCACAGCAAATTGCAATCGACTTATATGGCATCTTTCAATGTCTTATCGAAGTTTCATTTACGAGATTCCTTCTTTTTTCCTTTATATACATATATTATAATATTATACTATAATATATAAAAATATGAAAGATCTGTCTAATGGGCATAATGCCAATATAATATATCATCGTCAGCTGTTTGTGTTTCGATTACTTACAGTCGATTATCGATAAAAGAGAAAAAGAAAACAATCCACTTAAATGAAAATCCATTTACTTGCATCAATTTTTAATCTTTCTTTATTTTGGATAACTGGCGCTTAGGGGTTATGCTTCCTAACCAAGGGTTCCTCGTTGGGGCACTCAAAGGTCACCTCAATGCCATTGGGCAGCCATGTCCTGCTCCAGATTTTGACGTCACACACCTTCGTCTGGCCGTTGCTGTCGATCAGCTCCACAGTGTACCTATCCAAGGAGCCAGCAACCACCTGGTGGCTTGCCGATAGAATCTTCGAAATGCTATGGGGAAGCCAAGCAAAACAAGGGAATCGTTAGAGAGCTCAGAGCACGTTGAAGCGATGGCTGCCTACCGGTAGTTGGGTCCTTCGCCAGCTGCCAGCTTCGTGAGAGATTCCTGCAGCGTCCGCTTCGATTGCTCCAAGTCAGCTCCGCTTAGTTGGCGAGGTGCGCCAAGTGTTTGGGGATTGCCGCTGACCAGCGCAACAGCTGCACAGATCAATAAAATCTTTGCCACAAACATTTTTGGTTACTTTGAATGCCGGTTCCAGACTGAGTATGAGTACGGCGAGCTGGAATCGTTTTATATGGCGTCAGTCGGTGTCTTATCAATGCTCCCAAAATAATTTAGGTCGCACTTGACCCACTTGTACCAAATATTAATCTCTTCTATAGTGACATTTAAATATATACATATATATATATAAATATTAATAGGAAGTCGGGCACTACCGACTGCATATTGCTCAGTCAAGATCCAAAGACAATAGATCAGTTCCACAGTTCTACAGTTCTACAAACTCTATTTATATAAAATATATAATATTTCCACATTTCCACACCCCAGTAGAAATGTATATATGAATTTTGGTCAATCCTATGAAGAAGTTTAGAGTAATGTAGTTGGAATTAAGGAGCTGCATTTTCAATGAGGAAAATAATTGAAGGGTAAATGCAACGCCCCCTAAGAGCTTCCATATATCCACTATATATTTTATATCATATTTTCGGATTGCACAAAACCAATATACTCTTTCACTTCATGAGCGAGTATAACAAAGCGCATTAATCTGACGATTATGTTTCTCTTTGTTTCATGGGGAATTCTAGTTGGACAATTCTAATTAATGGCATTCTATAATTCTATGCATATATATTTATTTATTTCTTTTAATTAAGCACTTAAGCTAAGCTCAATTCTAACATTATGTGTACATAATTAGATTATATTGAGCTAATCGTAAAGGTCGCTGGCTTCAGATGGGCTTTTACCCTAAACTCGTTGAGAATGTAAAATCAAAGCATAATGGTTTTATGAAAATATATGTAACAGGCTGAAGGAGGCGTGGCAGATACAGTATGTATATTTTTGATCAGGATCAGTAGCTGAGTTGGTCTAATACCGTTACCAGATTTCCTGTGTTTGTCCATGGAAAAAATACAAAAATCTTACCATTTTTGTTTGCTGGGGATTTCTTAGTCGAACAGGCTCGACTAGAGAGCTCTTAATTGTTTTGATTTGAAAAAGCAATTATGGTTTATTGCTTATTGTGCTTATATAATATTCAAAGGCCACACAGGAAGCTTTTGATTAAAATATTGATGTACCTAAAGTTCAACATTTAAATATATATAATAATATATACTAAAATCTTTATTCTTAAAGAATATCAATTTTTTAATCTCAACGAAATCATTTTTTATAATAATGGAATAGGAATATTTATTGCTAAATTTATAAATATAATTAAAGTCCAAAATAAATAAAGATGTAAATAATCATGCTAATAAGAGACATTCATCATGGATCAATGTGCATCCTTTCAAGCCGTTGGAGTCGTAGACCTCATAAATTGTTCAGCTGGAAGACGCAGTGGCTTCCTCCTCTGGCTGTCATGTCCAATATACGGGGTAATTGCACAGAGATCAGTCGACGGAGACGATTAATTACGGATCGCATCAAAGTACGGGCACGAGTGTGCAGGCACAACAAACATCTGAACAAGAATGTCAAATGATTTAAGCTTGTCGAATATGTATTTTGCATATCTCTCTATCTCGCTCTCTCTCCCTCTTTCGCACTCCCCCCCACTCCAATCGCCCATTCATTTTTGGCGCTCCTCCAGCAAACTGTCAGAGGTGCACAAATCTATGCCCCTATGCCACGGGCACAGCCACAGCCATTCAACTGGCGGCGCATCTGAGACATTCGACCGTTTGGGGGTCCGGGCTCTGCTCGCTTTTGCTGGGAGCCCGTGGCTTATTCATCAATCCATCCAGCCATAGACATCTGCAGCCGTTGCTGTCAGCTAGAACTTGTCGCCCCGTTCTTTCATTATATATATATGTGTACATTTATATTATTATTTTTTTTTTCACCAGATTTTTGCGCTTAACACTTGTAATCCGTTTCACCTCTTGAGTGTGACGGCGCCAATGGCGATGCCCCCAATAGCGGGCGGGCTGGGGGTGGTGGCGCAATGACTTGGTCGTGGGCGTTGGCGTCGTTCCACTTCTGCTTCAAAGGTGCTTTTCGTTCTCTCTATCTCTATATCACTATCTTTCGCTGCCCTCTTATACATTTCTCCCCTCTCCTTTGGCCACTCTCACTCATTATCTCTTCTCAATCATGCTCTATTTCTTCCCATAACTATCTCTCTCGCTCTTGCTCTTTATCTCTTTCACAGTCTCTGATACTCTTTTTCTGTCTCCCTGTCACTCTTTCTTTAGCACTTTGCCTCACTATTTGCCTCTCTCTCTCTCTCTCTCCCAGTTTTAATTTTTCTTTTTTCCTGTCTCTCTCTATCTCTCTATTTCCCCCTCTCTATCTCTCACTCGTTACTCTTTACCTATCTATTCCCGTTCATTCTATCTCAGTTTCTCTCTCGCTTTATGTCTGTATCTCTCACTCCCTCATTCTCTCTCTATCTCAGTTAGGCTTACTTTCTCTGTATAGCTTTCCTTTCCCCTCCTTCCTTTCTGTTTCCTCCCACTCTCTCTCGCTCTCTTTCTCATTCTCTCTCTCTCTCTCTCTCTCTATCTCTCTCTCTCTATCTCTCTCTCTCTCTATCTATCTATCTCTCAAACTTTCGCCCCTTCTCCAAGTCTCCTTCACTTTGCTCTATCTTTCTCCTCTTCTTTCCAATAATGCTCACTCTCTCACGCTCTCTCTCTCACTCTTTTTTATTTCTTCTCTGTCCCTCCTTCTCCTCTGTAGCTAATTCCCTTTGCTCAATTCCAAATTGCTTTACACTTGATCAGTTTTAGTAGTAACATCGAGTCTATCAA